TTGATTTCTTTGTTGTGAAGCGTTATTTGTTTACTCGGCATTGTTGTGTTCCACAACAATGCCGAATATAAACAAATATAAGTTGGCATTGTTGATGACGTCATTTTTTTTTGACGACAACGAGGATTCAGAAATTTTTATAGTAGATCCGAGGTTTTATTTCAGTATCACGAGGACCATCCGTCGCTATTGACGGTCTTGTAGTATTTACAAAACACTGCCTTTATATGTACCATCTATTAGCAAGAAGATACGCTTTCTGAATCAAGTAATTGTTTTCTTATCAGATTATGTATTTCTTGTTTGTTTCCAATGCGATGTTGTACTATGTCACACGTCAAACAAATAGCTATAAATGGCGGTTCACATCCTTCGCGGTTACTTAGGCGACTGCCTTTTGTGGTTTGATAAATTAACTTACGCAACGTTCCCTTTACGTTTTGTAGCACGCAAACCACCACTATCATCAATCATCAAACACACAGGGCACAAACTAATCTTTGCACTTCCTGTGGTCTCCATAATTCCACAGACTAAGCAGTAGACACAACCAATACATTTGCACTGGCATGGCCAGTAATGGCGCTCAAACGTTAATATACGATTATCTTGTCAGCGTAAATAATCCTCTATTTACATTGGTCACTTATTGTACTCTCTCGTAAACCCAGTTCAGTAATCTTAAAACCGAGTGGTACAGAATCAGAGCCAATTCCAATAATTACGCCGATATGAATTCTCTTTCACGTATGACCAATCGCTCTTAAACCTACTTCATAATATTTATGAAACTAGTGAAATCCGGCATAAGATCTGTGCGAAATTTGTAGTAGTAGTAGTAGTAGTTCTAGTTACTGACTTGATTCTGATAATTTCAGTAATTTTAAATTTCTTACTACATAATAGGAACATGTTGTACGACATAAAATACTAATTAAATATGAAATAACTTAACAATTACTTTAATTCCAGGTGCCCATTTAAAATTATTATTACTATAAGTATTAAGAATGATACTAGTAAATTATTGGTTTAAAAATTGTATATCATAAATATTAGACCACAGAAACAATATTAAAATTATGAAATACGATAATATGTAACGTTCTGTTGCAGTTAGAAAATGTGAAAACTAGGTCAAATAAATCAAATAACAGACATAAAAGTTCCATAAAGAACTTCTTTGCATACCACTAACTAATTATATAATTAAAAAGTTCAAATATAAGCCGAAAGGATAAATTTTTTACAGACACAATTCTAAACGCACACTGAAAGCAGAGGCACCCAAATCAACTTTGGGCGGCACAAAGTTCATTAAAGGATGAAGAAGAAATGAACAAAATAAATTTATATTGATAATAGTGCTTCTTCTTTAAGATAATGATAGTTACGAACTATAGGCGTATTTTATCCATAATTTTAGTGCTGTATTGTTTCTATATTATAATAATTTCTATACACTTATCTATATACTAGGTTCGTGAGAGAAAATTTAAAAACCACAAAAAATGGAAATTATAATCATTTTAATTCTTTTACTAACTAATATTTGAATGATTCCAAGTAAAAACAAATGTTATAGAATTAAGATAACATATTAATTCAAGAATGTAATATATAAATGACAACAGTAACAAACAGGTGATACATTACTAAAAGTCTACAGAAAAAATAATAAAATTAATACGCAACATGCAATACGCAATTATTATAGGCACACCTGACTTTTGCACAAAAAATACATTATATACAGTCGTATTTTAGGCACCTTGAAAACCGATGCCTCTGCCTGAGATATATTAGTTTTTTTCTTACAGATTACTAACATCTTTAAATAAGAGAACACATGTTTCCAACAGCGCTAACTGCAGTTTCGGGAGATTTCTACGCAATATATACTTGCATGTAAAATATTTGAAAACCGTCAACAATTATTTCCACAGAAGTTAATTTCGTTTATATCAGGTTATTAAATTTCGCTTTAACTAATCGAAAAAGAGTCCAGATATAAATTGAATTAAAACTATATTTAAAATCACGACTTCATCAGCTTTTACTGAAAAGGCCTGATAGCCTGTTCTAACTGAAATACAATTCTGAAATTGTGCATTCGTTTATAAAATCGGTATGGCTCCTAAACGGGGGATCAACCCATCGCATATTCCCGACCTGTAAAGGACAACACAATAGAGAAAAACTGAACACAAACGTCATTGCCTTGAGGGAGACTGGAAATCACAATCCAGTAGTCAAAATATATGCGAAGCCAGCGCAACCACCATCGGTGCACATAACTGGAGTTATAACAGCCGTCACAAAATTTCATGCTTCAAGGCCACACAAAGACTTCAAAACCCTTTCCAAGTAAACAGTGCAGTGGTGCTAGCTTTGCTACGATGCGAGTTCTATGCTGTCTTCACTCGACTCAGTTCCGCTGTTCGTTTTCTTAACGGTGTGCGTTGAAGCATGTAACTTTTACAACAGATACTATAATAGTTACATGAGACAGTACATCACATAATTCTTATTCTACAGAGCTTAACGAGTAAACCTTCGTCTACGAATATTAGAAAATATCAAATTTAATATCAGTATGATCAACCTAACATACA